TTCTGCAGTTTGTCTCAAAGCACAGCTTTTTACAGACGACTTTGAGGACTTCGCTTGTTTAGTTGCTGGGAGCTCGTCATTCCTAGCAACATTGTCTTCTAATTCAAATTCTCTCTCGTATTTCATGCTTCTTTATTAATGGAGAAAAGTTTCTTACTTGGTTCATGCTGATGGACCAGCTTAATCATCCAATCTTTAGATACTGAGAGGTAGGTTGCCATGCCTATTGTCGAGGTCTTGTAGGCTATTTCTAAGTTTATCATACCTCTACCACCACTCCTCCGTGGGAGATAGAGACGATCAACGTCTGCTTTTGGATGGTGCATCCTATTGGAGGTTAGTAGTTTTCTTGTCTTAGTGTCCATTCGTCTTATTTCATCCATTTTCCAGTTCAGAATGTTAAAACTGTATTGGACGACAGGGACAGCTAGGGTATTTAAAGCCTCGATACGATTTTTGGAATTCAACTCCGTTTTAAGCTCTAACCTGATTCTTCTATAGTATTCTTTCCTCACCTTTTCTTTCATAGAGGTATGATTGATGCCATTCCCCTCGCTGACGCCAAGGTATTTATAGGCTTCTTCTGGGTCTAGCTCTCTAATAGTAGTGTCTAGATCCAGAGTAACTGATGATGTTGCTTTCAGTGTTCCTTTGACAAATGAGGCTTTGGCACATTTGTCTAAGCCAAACTCCATGCCTATGTCATCACTGAAACATTTAACTGTGGTCAGCAGGCCTTCAAGATCTTGATCACTTTTGGCAAACAGTTTCAAGTCATCCATGTAGAACAGGTGATTTACGTACTTGTTGTAGATTTTGTAACCATAATTTGTGTTATTTAATTCGCTAGAAAGTGGTATTAGCGCTAAACAAAAGAGAAGTGGGGAGAGAGAGTCTCCCTGAAAAATTCCACAATTGATTTTGATAAGTTCAGATTTGAGTGATCCATTTTTATGGGAAAGAAAAAGTCTAGTTTTCCACTTATCCATGCTTGATTTTAAGAAATTGGTGATAATAGGAGAGAATTTATATATAACTATAGCTTTTAGGATCCAGTCATGGGGCACACTATCAAATGCTTTTTTGTAGTCTATCCACGCAGTGCTAAGGTTCCTATTACTTTTACGGCAGTTTTCGAGAATCGTTCTATTTATCAGGAGTTGATCTTTGCATCCATATGAGTCTCTCTTACATCCTTTCTGTTCTTGTGGTAGGATGGCGTTATCATCTAAAAAATTGTACATGCGATTAGTTATAATGGAAGTTAGTATTTTATATGTAGTTGTAAGACATGTAATTGGTCTATAGTTTTTTGGGTTTCTTGGTTTTTGGGTAAGAGGTATGTTGTTCCTTCAGTTAACCATTCAGGAGCACTTTCTGGGTTCTGTAAAATTTTGGTAAAGTTTATTGCTAGTTTCTCATGTAAAGATGTGAGAGAGTTTAACCAAAAGTTTGGAATTTTGTCCACGCCCGGAGATTTCCATTTCTGCGACTTAGCTAATGCATTACGCAATTCGATTACTGTTATTTCATCCCATTGTTGTTGTTCCACTTCATTCATCCTCTCCTGTTCTCTCTTAATCCATTCGGCTTCACTATTAAACTCTTTCTCTTTTCCCCAAATACCATTCCAGAAGTTAGTCATATCTTCTTCAACCGGGGGCTCCTCAACATTAATTGTTCCTTTACCTATTTCTCTATAGAACTTCTTTGCATCAGTCTGAAAAAAATTATTCTGCCTATAGAACCGAGTTCTTTTGTCAAATCTGCGGAGTCGTTGGGCCTTTACCTGTATTTTTTGTTTGATTGTTTCTTTTGCAGTCAACAGAGACCTTTCATCTGTGACTTAATTTCGTTTTTTAACATTTCGAGCTTTTCTAGTTTTTACAAGTGTACCTTTTGATATTTCATTTAGTATTGATAACTTTGCCCGTAGAGCATCAATCTCTTTTTGTAGCCTGATTTTCCATTTTGGTGCTTTATTAATATGTTTCTTAGTTTTCTTCTTAAGTTTATTCCCCATTGTGTTTGAGATTGCTTTCTCAGTAGCATAAATATATGTGTTAAGAGTAGACAAATCAAGCTCTTGGTTATCTAAGACATCCTTTAAAGCAACGTTATAAATTTTGATCGTTTGTCGAAGTTTTGAGCTTTGCGTGATTTTTGGGAGCGAGTCTCTTTCTGAATATTCTTGATGTTCAGTCTTGCTGAACTCACGTAAAATATCAAGGCGAGCTTCCTCTATATCATCTCTATGTTGTTCAATAAACTCGTCTAAGTTAGCATCCTCAACTACATCAGCAGGGTTTCTATTTTCAACAACGTCACTATCATTAATTTCATTACCATCAGGTTCTTGATTCAACACTGCAGGTTCAGGCTCAACAGCATTATCTACTATCTCAACATTCAAAATACTTGTCCTAATCTGATCGATTTCTGCATCAGTTAATCTTTTATTCTTTATTATGTCTCTTCGTACATTTGCGAGTTTATTTGG